AATACAATAGAAGAAATTTTCAAATCAATCAAAAATTTTAAGTTTCTATGGTTTTTAAAACAAGCCAAAATGTGTAAAACAATTGAGCCAGGTTTCGTACCTTTATCAGTGGATCTACTGTGTATTTCTGCAACTGATTGATGTACTCTGTAACAATGAATGGTGCCATTCGACAAACATCAATTTTGTTGCGTGACAATGAGGCCAATAACCTAATTAATGAAAAGAAACATAATAAGTCTCACAATACAACAAAATTAACAATAAAATATTTTACATTCAAGCTCCATAGTTTTAATTATGAAATATTAATTTCTATCAATGTGGAAATATTTGCAGTATCACATGATATACTATTAACCAATCAGTTCACACCTGCTATATTATGTGATTTCTACTGACCAATCAAGTCACAGTTGTAGTATGATGTGACTAGTTTTGTCCAATCAAAACCTACCTTTCTAAATCCTGGGCACATCTGTTCAGTTCTTCTATTGCGCAATCATTTTGTTGACTTCCACTCATCACTGAATGCATAAGATGTAGAAACGGTTAAGTATATTTGACATTCATTGACAAGGAAGTACATGTACAACAGAAATCTTGGAATAAATTGACTCTTCAAATGTTGAAATCAGGAGTTTTATTTTAGGTCAGGTGATAGTTCCTGACATTGAATGTCATTGTTGTCCTTGTACCAGGTGACAGTTTCTGACATTGAATGTCATTATTGTCTCTGTACCAGGTGACAGTTTCTGACATTGAATGTCATTATTGTTTCTGTGACAGTTTCTGACATTGAATGTCATTGTTGTCTCTGTACCAGGTAACAGTTTCTGACATTGAATGTCATTGTTAATTCTGAGTCCGTGGCTTTGGCTTCACAATTAAGTGTATGGCATACGATTACCCAGGGTAAGGGTCTACCTGTTTGCTAAGGTAAGATGGTTCAGTTACAACAACCACTACACTACCAGTAACATCCATTGATTGACATCTGTAATTCTATAATCCTGATAACACTGAATTAAAACACACCCTAAAAATTCAACTAATATAATATTTTAGTTTTCTGCTGACATAGTTTAGCAACCTCCAAAATATGGTATAAATATTTACAGCCGATTAAGAAGGCAACATATAACAGAAAAGGATATGAGAGACACAACTGATATAACTCGGCAATGCTGTTATTATGACTTTAGAGTAGTTGTTTAGCATTGAGTACAAGATAGTAGACAATGCAGTATAAATAGTTGCTTCACTGAGACACACAGTCTGGACTGATGCTGTGTTTATATCAAGAACAGATAGACAACCATGGAGTACAAACAACACCATCCTAGGTTCTAATAATCTCTAAAAAATAAAATATTCATACATTATAAACACTTCATGTATTTCACCCCACAAGGTATTTAATAGAGAGTATATACAGATGTATGCAGTTTTAACAAATATATTCTATGTAGGGTTATTGGGTGAATAGTAATTTGCATATGTGACAGAGTGATGTATTTTAATGGTTAAAGCAAGACTAAATATGCACAGGAACAATGAGAAAAATGTTCATAAATGTAAGTTGACAATGGAAAATCAACTCTCTGAAGAATAGAATAGAATGTTTTTAAGATATGATTTTTCTAGAAAAGTAAACTTGTAAAAAATGTTTGGTTTTAACAAGTTATACTGTTTCTTACCTTCTGTACAATTTGGTTCAGTACTTGTAGCATAAGTAAAGTTGTTTGGTCCTCGTTGTTTTGTTGTAAACTAGTCACTATGTTTACAGTTATCTGAAATCACATGCAATTATCAGACATGAGTGAAAAAAGAAACATTGCAGAAATGAGTTGTTACTGAAATATACAAGCATGCAGGGTTTTTAGATATTTGTAATAAATTTCAAGAATGTTCTGAATTATAATAAGAACCCAACCACCTGTAGAGTTAAATATCCTGGTTGTTCATATCAATAAATAATAGAACCATACATATAGTAGAAATCTGTTTCAAATTTCAAAGATGGTCTGAATTAAAGAACTCAAATTTTGCTCACATCAACAATATATCATTAGAAGTACAGTATATATTATTTTCTGACTATAAAATTGATTGTACATTGTTTTATCTGTACTTACAACAGGTACAATCTCCTTGGTTACTTCAAGTTGGTCACTAGAATCTAGTAATAATTTAAACATGTGTAAAACAGGAAGTAGACTGGATATATTCTGTAAGAAATGAACACAACACAATGAAGACACAGACATGGTGGTAGTAGGAAAACACTAATACAACCAAAGACGGAATAGTGTGTTCATTGCATGTACATGTGTAAAACAGAAAGCCATGTCGCCATTTATGCTTTAAAATGGTCGTCATTTGGTCATCTTGAAATTAAATATGAAACATGTGTTAAGTTTGAACAATATGATCAGTCAAGTCATATCTGAGATAATGGTGCAGATCACACAGTACCTTTGTCTCACATGCATGAAAACTTGTTTTGAATGTAATTTTTCACACAAACAAAGATATGTAATTATTCTATTTTGTCAATAATACTTTTATCAATAATTTACTCATCTCTGGGCTTCACACAAAATGGAAATCACATTTTCCTATCATTGTGTCAGTCTTGAAAATGATTAATCTTGATAAAACTTGGCAGAATAACTAAGGATGGTATTGCTTAAACAATGTCAATATGTGTACCCCCCCCTATCAGCTGTAGATGTTGTAGACTATGAAAATTACAACAAATCTTACCATGTCATGTGACAGCTGGAATACGGCAATTAGATCTTCAGATGTTGTATGTTTCAATAATGCCTGTGAGAACTCAATCACGTTGTCTCCTTTGCTGTGCTGTATCACAGTCTTCAAAGTGTTCCAAGCAATCAATATAAAGTTCTTTGGAAGCACATTTGATAGCAAGTCAAACCCTTGTAGGACAGTACATAGGAACCTTATATAGTCATGTGACAGTAAGTAGTTACTTACGAGATCACACTTTGCGAAGTACTGTATTGCATGTCTAAAAACAGGGTCAAACATGGCTTCCCATTCCTCACTTTCCATGGCAACAGAAATCTTCAATTTCAACTTCAATATTAAGGTCATGACCCTGATTGTGATTGGCTCAGTACTGAGCATGCTTAGTAGTCCCTTCTTTGAGATGGTTGCTATGACACCCTGTAGCTGCGTTGATATGATTTGCTGATGTTCCAGTAATGTCGGCATTGATTGGTTAGGTACTTTGCCACTAAGTCCAAGAATGTCTTCTAAAAGGACACAGATGACTGCAAGATTAGGTGTTACCATGGACACCAGTGATTCCACATCACTGGTTTTCTTGATCTGCTTTTTCATACTTGAAAGAGAAATCTGAAAATGTGAAAAAATAAAATATTATCCTCAAAAAATAATATCCAATTTTATTTTTAACAAAATTTGCAGTTATTTCATACACTACAATCAGGGGTGTTTCTCACAACAT